ATAACTACTTAAATCAATCTCATATAAAACACTACCTCATGGACTATGAATGCGCCGATATATAAAGCAATCAAAACTAAAATCTAAACGGAGCAAAAGCCTCAAACCCATACAAGACATTCCGCTAACAAAAGCCAGTGCAAGAAGCTGCTCTCCCAGTAAGACACAAAGGCTTCTCAGTCACAACAACCGCTGCTTCCCTTTGACTTGTCTTGATTTCGCTACATTCTTTCGTGTCTTATTACCCTTACAATGTCCAGCTCTTAGATTTTATAACAATTTTCCTATGTGGAGTCATATAATCAGTCTTCTTCTTCTTCTCCTTCATCACCTTCTTCTTCTTCATTCTGCATGGCAAGAAGAGGTGGCATGCACAGTAAGTATCGCCGTGTACTATGAATTTACTTCGATTAGGGCTGATGGAGATCATGATGAGATAATTGACCTCATCATCGCCGTGCACCTGATCGCTCGGCGAGTCCCTAATCCTCAAGTATGCGACGTCCTAATGCGCCCTCTGTGCCGCCCTCGGCGCCGCCCTCCCCCGCGCCCTGTTTCATCTCCCGCTCATCCCGGATAAAACAGATGACTCGCGATCACTTCTGGCAATGTCTTGTACTTCTTAGTTAGTCTCGGAAGCATCTGCTAACTCCTGCTAACGCCCACCACTGCTAATGGGCCCGACTAAGGCTCGGTGGCCGCCTAACTTGCGCCCAGACCCGTCACCCCGCGGGAAGCCCGCGACCCCTTACTAACCTCGAGGGCGGTCCGTGCACGCACCTGCAATCCGCGGGAGTTGAGCTTCATGAGGAGGTGCGCCTGCGCCTCCTTCTCCCTCTCGACCAGCCTCTTGGTCTGGCGGACGGCCTCCTCGGCCTCCACGCCCAGGTTGGTGACCTCCATGGTGGTCTCGGCGGAGGTCATGCGGTTGGCCATCTCGCGCAGCGTCTCCGCCTGCGCCTCCAGCTCGTCCGTCTTGGCGCGGGCCTCCCTGGCGCGGTCCTCCAGCGACTGCAGGTACAGCTCCTCCTCGTTGATGGTGGCTCGCAGGCGCGCTATGGTGTCCTTCAGGTTGGTCTTGATGGTGGTGATGGTGGTGATCTGCGCGGCGCTGAGGCTCTTGGCCTGCAGCAGGGCGGCCGACTCCTCCCGAAGCGCCTGCAGGTGCTTCTCCTTCATCTCCGCGATGGCCTTGGACGAGGACACGACCCTACACGTGCCACGCGGCGGCCCCACGTGTTCTAACACGAGGCAGTCGCGGCACACCCACGCGCCGCAGCTCATGCACCGGAAGAAGCGCAGCGAGCCGTGCGCCTCGCAGCGGCCCGCGTCCGGCTCGCGCACGCCGCCTGCGTCCAGCAGCAGCTGCGGGGGCCCGCCGCTCGCCAGGCACCGCACGAGCCGCAGCAGCTGGTAGTTGACGGCGAGGTCGTCGGGGTTGGCGGCGTCGAAGGTGCGGCGGCACTCGGGGCAGCGGCGGTCGTTGTCGATGACGCCGCGGACGCACGGCGAGCAGATGGAGTGGCCGCAGGTGAGCTGGCGCGGCGTGCGCGTGTCTGAGAAGCGCTCCTGGCACACGGTGCAGCACAGGCTCTCCTCCTCCATTCCTTCGCCTGGGGAGGGGGAGGGGGTTAGCTCCGATAAAATGAAAACAAAGAATTGTCGGCACAAAAGACTTACACAAGAATGCCTCATTCATCAACGACTTATCATTCCCGAAAGTCCTCAGTGTTTAGCCCGGCGGCCCAAGCCCTCATCTCCAGACTCAATAAAAGTTCACATACTCGATGCAACTGTCATAAACACTAGCCTTTGTTCCCCGTGCTCCACCCCGGTTGCCCCCTCCCTCCCCCTGCCCCCTCCCTCTACACCGGGGCTTCCAGTACATGAACGTTAAAACTAATAATAATAAACCGAAACAAAAGATCAAAAGACCGGAAGAAAACACCCACCCACCCAACGCAAACTAAACCCAACATCCACGTCAACATCCCCTCCCTATCCCACCCCTTTTTCGCCCTACAACACAGACCGATCCCACAATCCCCCCCCCCCTTTTTTTCACCCCTTCTTCCAACGCCTCCACCTCCCTCTCCCCTCACCTCCCCCTCGACCCAAACCACGTGTTCCCCACTTACTGCCCTCCTCCGCCATCTTGCTCCTTCACACGTTGTCCCGCACTGCCATGCTTCTGCCACTTATGTCATCAAAGGTTGTATCTAATTTTGCATAAACTTGGCAGCTCTATTGTTTCCTGTCTCTTATCGGCGTGGAGTTGCCAGATACTTGATCGAATGATTTACTCTTATCGGGGCGAACACAGCCGGCTCAGATAAGGTACATTTTTAGATTATGACTTTGTGTGTATGTGGTCGTTCTTATGGGACAAAAAAAGATGTAGTTGCTAGTTATCAGGTCTGGATTATCCGTGGAAGGACAGTTATCATAGCTCTTATCTGCTGCGTCTTAAGTAAAATATTAGGGATATAAATAAATTATTCCGTCTTGTGTACAACCCTATTTTAGCATGTAATCAAATAAGCAAATTCTTGATAGTACTTAGATTATGCTTTTTCTATACAAAAGTATGTGTCATCATGTAATAATTAAAATTCTATCAATATCTATTTCATAAGTAACTCATTGCAACTTGCATCGAACTTTGAAAGCTTTACCAAATGTACTGTATATGTAGTGTACACCAATCTCTCTCTCTCTCTTTCTCTCTCTCTTTCCTTATCTCTCCTTCTCTCTCTCTCTCTCTCTCTCCTTCTCCCTCTCTCTCTCTCTCTCTCCTTCTCTCTCTCTCTCTCTCTCTCTCTCTC